AGACACTGTCACCATCCCTGGGCACTGCCACCACCCCCAGGCACTGCCACCACCCTGTCACTGTCCCGGGGCTCTGCCACCACCCCCGGACACTGTCACACCCCCGGACACTGCCACCATCCCCAGGGCTCTGCCACCATGCTCCGCACCGCTCCGCCAACCCCACCGTACCTCAGCGCCGATCCGCACCTCGCTCCGCGCTCGGCACCACATCTCAGCCCCTCTCCGCGCCGCCCCGCGCTCCCCACCGCCTCTCAGCCCCGCTCCACATGGCTCCGCCCTCCTCACCGCGTTTCAACCCCGCTCCGCACCGCTCCGTAACACCACCCCTAGACACTGCCACCATCCCCAGGGCTCTGCCACCATCCCCAGGCACTGCCACCATCCCCGGACATTGCCACCAACACTGGACACTGTCACACCCCCGGGGCTCTGCCACCATCCCTGGGCACTGTCACCACCCCTGGACACTGCCACCACCCCCAGGCACTGCCACCATCCCCGGACACTGCCACCATCCCCAGACACTGTCACACCCCCGGGGCTCTACCACCATCCCTGGGCTCTGCCACCATCCCTGGGCACTGTCACACCCCCGGGGCTCTGCCACCATCCCTGGGCACTGCCACCATCCCCAGGGCTCTGCCACCATCCCCGGACACTGCCACCACCCCTAGACACTGTCACCATCCCTGGGCACTGCCACCACCCCCAGGCACTGCCACCACCCCGGGGGCACTGCCACCATCCCCAGGGCTCTGCCACCAGGCCTAGACACTGTCACCACCCCTAGACACTGTCACCATCCCCAGACACTGTCACCATCCCCAGGGCTCTGCCACTCTGCTACAGCTCTACCATCACCTCAAAAGCCTCTGCCATCACCCTGGGGCTCTGCCATCATTCCTGGGGACCTGCCCTGACACCCAGCCCCTAGCATCAGCCCTGGACACTGCCACCACCCCTGGACATTGTCCCCATTCCCAGTGCCCTGCCACCATCCACAGTGCGCTGCCACCACCCCTAGACACCGCCACCATCCCCTGGGCCCTGCCATTATCCCCACTGCTACGCCATCGTCCCAGGGCCCTGCCACCACCCCGGCACTCTACCATCATCTCAAAAGCCTCTGCCGCCACCATGGGACTCTGCTGTCCTCCCTGGGGCTCTCCCCTGACCCCCAGTGCCTGCCACCACCCCCAGTCATTGCCACCACTCCTGGGGCTCTGCCATCATCCCCAGCCCCAACCATCCCCCCTGGACACTGCCACAACCCTTGGGCCCTGCCACCATCCCTGGGGTTCTGCCTTGGCCCTCAGCCCCTACCATCACCCCTGGACACTGCCACAACCCATGGATGCTGCCACCATCCCTGAGGTTCTGCCTGATCCCCAGCCCCCACCACCACTCCCAAACCCCTACCACCACCCCTGGACGCTGCTGCCACCCTGTTCCCTGTGCATGGCAGGAGGACACTGGGCCAGTTGTCCCTACCTGGTGGCGATGAGGGGGTAGCTGTGGGTGGGCTTGCCCATGGCCTCACGGCTCTGGGGCAGGCTGCCATAGAGCAGCAGCTCCTTCTCGGTGAGGACGGCCAGCAGGTTCCTGGTGCCAGCGCTGGGGAGCTGGAAGGGGATGGAGGTGATGATGAGGCACTGGAACAGGTTGCCCAGGGAAGTTGTGGATGCCCCATCCCTGGAAGTGTTCAAGGCCAGGCTGGATGTGGCCTTGAGCAACCTGCTCTAGTGGGAGGTGTCCCTGCCCAGGGCAGGGGGGTTGGAACTCGATGATCTGGAAAACAAATCGTATGAGGAGCGGCTGAGGGAGTTGGGGCTGTTTAGTGTGAGGAAGAGGAGG